CTCGGGCGTGTGCTACTCAAGAAAACCAAAGTCTTAGTACTTGATGAAGCTACTGCATCAGTCGACACAGCGACTGATTGTATGATTCAGCAAACGCTCGGGCAACACTTTAGTGACTCTACTGTGATAATGGTCGCCCATCGTATCACCTCTGTGCTTGATAGCAACGTGGTTTTGGTTTTAGAACTATTAGACTAGGTTATACGTTAATGTAATTATGAATAGTTAGAGGTATCTAAATGTAATTTGTATTATTATATAATGAGATCAATGAGAAGGGGAAAACCCACGATTCACACTCTATCATGGTATCAGAGCGACCAACCTAGCCGGCCCTACCTACTTCCGCCTTTGGATCGCTGCTGTCTTCCCCTTCGCTGCTGTGTCTTCCCCTTCAATCTGCGATCTCCTCTAATCGCAGCCCCCCCTCCTTTCTCAATTTCGATTCTCTCTTCTCTTTTTCACCTTTATTCCGATTCTAATCCTTATGGCCGGCGATAAAATCCAGCCACCCATCATCCAGCCGCTCCACCCTGCGACAACCGTAACCAACATCAAGAATCAGATCCCTATCACTCTCACCACTGATGGCAACACCTACAACTCCTGGGTCGCATTATTTAAAATGCAGTGCACCGTTTGTAGGGTTTTGGATCACATTATCCCGGATGCTACCGCTCCCTCAGAACACGATGAAGAATGGAAGCGTATTGATGCAATCGTGTTGCAGTGGCTTTACAGTACTATATCCACTGATTTACTAACGACGATTCTCAAGGTTGACAACACGGCTGCCAAGGCGTGGTCTGCTCTTGAACGCTCCCTCATTTTCCACATCATGTATGTCGGTTAAAGAAGTCTCTATACGGTCTCAAGCAGGCACCCCGGGCATGGTACCAGCGGTTCACGGATTATGTTGGTACCTTGGGATTTCGACTTAGCTCCAGTGATAATTCACTGTTCATTTTTCATCAGGGACAAACTGTTGCCTACATTCTTCTATATGTGGATGACATCATCTTGGTCACCTCGTCTCCAGCACTGAAAGCCTTCTTCATGACTCACTTGTCTACCGAATTTGCCATGAAAGACTTGGGCCCTTTAT